GAACCTAACCTAACCTAACCTAACCTAACCTAACCTAACCTAACCTAACCTAACCTAACCCAACCACCGATGTCCTCCGACTGAGAAGCAACATTGTGAAAAATTAGCTCCTCATTGAAGTGACCTTAATATCGTAAAAAAGTGATCTACTTATTTAAATTTAGTATTTTATTTTGTGCGAACCTATAGTGCATTGTTTTAAAGTACATTTGGTTTGATCTAAATCGTTTTGTCCCTTTTGGGACTGTTTAATTAAACCAGCATGGCTTTTAGCCAAAATGTGCCTGGTAATAATGCCATAATTAGACCCTCTGCCCTTGGTTCTAACCTTCGTGCCCCTAGTTTGTCCAACTCTGTAACCCCCCAAATGACCTCAAGTGAAGGACCCTCTCCTGCGGACCTCAAAAAGACGTACAAGGCCAAACTTAGAGAATTAGCGTGTCATTTTACGGAAGCGTCTGATGTTATTATGACTAAATCTCAATCCCCTAATGTCAAAACGGCCTGTAGTAACTTTCAAGGCTTTCTGGATGGCTTCATAAAAGAGGTCCTCGTTGACCTGAATAAAGACTTCGAACGTGCAATGAAAAACGGCGGTAATGTTCGTGTGCAAGATGATGATGGTATTAATAAGCTTAGAGAGGAGAATAACACGTTAAAGCAAAGGATACAAAGTCTTAATGAGAGGGTGAATGATGAGAGAGCAGCCCGTAATGAAGCGACCCAAAAAGCGGCTAAAATGGAAAGCGAACTGGCCACGTACAAATCTGGATCTGTGTCTAAGGACATCAGCCTCATTTTTGGTATGCAGTCCAACAATCCTCAAGATGTGGCCCAAGTTACATGTAAAAACTGCCTGGCAATGGACCAACTTATCATGCAGATTGAAGATCTGAATAAAAAGAATCAACATTTACAATTAGAGCTGAACAAAAACAAACATAAACAACGAGATAGAAATGCGAACAAACCTTATACACAAATTGATCTATTAGCTGATGATTGTGATGCTGGTTGTGATGCCAGTTATGTAGATACAGATGTAGACCAGGCTGTGGAAGAACCTTCGACCTCTATAAACGGGAACAGGACCAGAGAAAGGCCATTCTCACAACCAAATCGAGTTAAAAACGTCACGTGGGTTGACAAGAACGATCAGCTGATCCCCACACTTCCATCCTATACTGGAGTGTCGCGCAGACGCAGACGAGGTAACCGTGCCACCGAAGGTGGAGGAACTCCACACAACAACATTAGATTTCCAGATACATCAGAAGATGAGAGGCAACCAACATTCAGGAGTTCATCCAGATCCCAATACCAAACTGGAAAAGTAAATCCATCACTACAGAGTTCATCTAGATACCGGTATCAAACTGGGGATGTAGCATCATCACTACGGAGTTCCTCTGGACTGCCGTATCAAGGAGCTGACGAAACCACATCAAGCGGACTCCATCCAGATCAAAATATACAGCAAAGTTACACACCAAGAACATACGCACAAGCTGCCTCAAGAAGTGCACCCAGTCAGACCAGACCTGTTGTTATAGCGGCACTTCCGGGCAAGCCTTTCAGTACCGATGGATCATGTATAGTCATAAGAGACAAAGAACCGGAGAAAACAGTAGAACAGGTTGAAACACTGTTCAAAACACAAGTCAAGCCCTCAATCATCGGCGTTAAGATCTTAAGATTGGCTCGTGTGTCATCGGCTAGAATCGTTGCAGTCTGCATGAGTCCGGAACAGGGAGAAATCCTAGCGGATTGCGTCAATAAAGGAAATAACACTTTGGAAGCATATGCCATCCTCAATAGAAAACCCCTACTCTGTCTTAGAAGAGTACCCACGGATTACAGCCTTGAAACGCTGCTAACGGAGTTAATTGCCCTCAATCCGAGCTTGAAAGAAATTGATCCGACTAGTATTAAGATGGCCTATGAAAGAAAGAATCTTAATAGTCGCAAAGAACAAATTGATAAAGATGTTATGATCGAATGTGAAGAAGACACCTACAAGTTACTCACGAGTCAGCCAAGGTACTACATTGAGTATCGAACGATTTATGTTGCGAAGCAATCCAGATTCACCCAGTGCTTTAAATGTCAGGGCTATGGACACATATCAACCAAATGTAAATCAGTAATAGAGAGTTGTGGTCGATGCTCAGGACCACATAAAACCAAAGGATGTGAACATCAGGCGCTGTGTTGTGTAAATTGTGTAAAATACAACAGAAATATAAGAAATCCAAGCTACAAAGTAGATACTAATCACTCAGCAAACTCAAGAGAATGCAACGTTCGTAGGGAAATGTTCCATATAACACAAAAAATGTCTCAATATGGAAGAACATCCAATTAACCGCTACGAAAATATAGTCAATCCGATACACAGTCTAGAGGTCATCCAAGTCAACGTAGCGAGGTCCTACGACTCGTACTACGCCATTTTACAACATGCACTTAACGACAGATTCGATATTTTATTGATTCAAGAACCCCCGCCAAGGCCAATCATCATGAAGCGGCACTTTAACTTTTTCCCGGAGGAGGTCAACACAGAGACGAGAGTAATGACAGTGGTTGCAAAAAAGCACAACAATGTCAAGATGATTGATAACGTATACTCAAGTAATGTAGTGATAACAGATTTTCTGGAGTACAACATTCGAGTTTTCAATATATACAACAAGCCTAGGAACCCGCCAACACAGATTCTGGAAGTTGTTACGTCGAACTTACGTAGTAGGTCTCTACTTGCAGGGGACTTCAATGCGAGGTCATCCGATTGGGGCGATCAAACCACAAACAGGTCTGGTCTTATGGTTGAAGACTTTATACTACAACATGCACTGGTGATCCACAACAAAATGGGAACCTCAACCTTCTGCACTACTAGGAACGATAGAGTCTTTGAGAGCTTCATAGACCTTACCCTTTCAGGAGAACAACTCAGCAATGCAGTTGATAGATGGCAAATTGGAGAGATCGAGATAGGATCGGACCACAGGGTCATTCAATATAGAATCTATGCAAGACCCCACATAACCCCAACTTTCAAGCACAATAGTGAACGACTATCTCTTAGAAATGTTGACTGGCATCGCTTCACCCTATTAATGGATGAGTTTGCCGAGCTCAACAGTGAGCATTCCCTCCTATTGGAGGCATTGATTAATGGAGGTACTCCAGAGATTGATGAATACATCGAAAATTTTGAAGAACATTGTACTACCAATCTGATGTACTCGGGTGCTGAGGAACTCGGAGCTGTTAAACCGAGGCCCTTCCCATGGTGGAACTCATCGATTCAAGAGACACAATATTTACTTAAGAGGGCAACGAAGAGACTTCTGAACTCCTCACCAAGAAGTAACAAGCACTTCCTTAAGTGGGTAGAGTCCCTCCGCAATAAGTTGAAGGCTCAAATAAGAGGCGCCAGGAAGGCTTACTGGGTGGACCTGTATGTGAATTGTGGTAAAGAGCACGTCTGGGATACATACTATAAACTGATGAAGTCACGTAACAAGTGCTCGGTTTCGAGCAAATTTATCCACGAAGGCAAACATGTGGAGAAGCCGGAAGACATCGCCAAAATCTTGGCTGAACATTTCTATGGGGCCACCACTGCTGAAGAAGACGTAAATCAATGTCATGACTCGATCCCCCCTATCGAACCCCACGATGGTAGGCTGGAAGACATACTCACCTCAGCTGAGGTGAAATATGCTATTGATGATTTTTCTGATAACAAAGCTCCCGGCTTTGATGGCCTTAAGCCGATTGTAATTAAAAGTTTCAGCGAACTGACTGTTGATAGGGTGATTACACCGCTTTTCAACGCCTGTTTAATGAATGGATACTTTCCTAGCAGATGGAAATGGTGTAAAACTGTTCTTATCCCAAAGAAGAGCGAAGGACACGCAAACGTCAAATCCTTCAGGCCAATTGGCTTACTTCCGATAATGGGAAAGATTTTCGAGAAATGTCTTCTGCTGAAAATGAAGAACAGGCTAACGGAAGTTCTGAGCCCACTGCAATTTGGTTTTCGCCCTGGGAGATCCACGGTAGACGCCCTGTATACGGTGCGGGAGAAAATCAAAGAATTCAAAAGAAATGGGGGACTCACTGTGTTGATTACTTTTGACATCAAGGGTGCTTTCGACACCGTACAGTGGAGTGATATCAACAACATAATGAATAAGAATGGCTTCGATGTATACCTGCAAAGGACAATCAAGTCATACTTGAGTAATAGGAAAACCACACTTCTTTATAATGATGCTTACCATGACATAATAAACACACGAGGGACCATTCAAGGTAGCTGTCTCGGACCTACTCTATGGAACCTTGTTATGAATGAACTCCTAAAGTTTGAAGGTCATCGGGAGGTCTATATACAGGCCTATGCAGATGACCTCACTTTGGTCGCTAACTTGCCTAGAGCGAATAATGAATACAAGATGGATACTCTGAAGATCGAGCTATGTAGAATCTCGGAGTGGGCGAGTAGACATGGACTCAAGTTCGCTGCAGAGAAGACACAGGCGGTAAGATTTGGCAAAGGCCCTCTACCTGTGATTTTCTTTGAGGGTAAGCAGATTCAATTCTCTAGCAGTATCAAAATTTTGGGATTAAACTTCGATGAAACACTCAACTGGAATGCACACATCAACAGCATAATAAAGAATATCAGGAAGACGCTACAAGGTTCTAACAACGCCTTGGGTTGGCCAAAGCCAAAACTCCAAGTACTAAAGATTATCTACCAAGGGGTGATCCTTCCAAAAATAACGTATGCTGGCGAAATTTACACGAATGGGATGACACTGGAAGGGACTAGAAAACTGAACTCACTTGTTTGTACGATACTCAGACGGATGTCCTCCATGTATCGTACAACGCCGAACACTACGGTCCTCAGCTTAACCGATTCGAGCCCGATAGACAGAGTTTTGAGATCTATTAAGATTAAATATGAAATATTAAGCAATAGACCCGATCCGAACAATGTTAACAACATTATCCCAGGTGATAGACCTCTAGAAGATAAAATAGGAAAAGGTTTTTCTGATAATGCACTACCATGCTCGCAGATTAAGGGACAGAAGTACTTTAACGAGCCGTTGGACTTACAGCCATCAAATGAGGAAGTTTGGCAAATTTACACAGATGGAAGCAAAACGCCTGATGGGGTGGGCTTTGGTTTCTGTGTAATTAATAGTAGAGGTGAAATACTCAAGAAAGGCAACGGCCCTCTTTTTGGTTACGCCACGATATATCAAGCTGAGTGCTACGCTGTCAAGACGGCCTTGAACTTCTTGGGTAGTAAGCTAGATAAAGCTCCTAGGGTGATACACATACTGACTGACTCGGAATCATTATTTTCAGCACTCCATACTTACTCAATGCAACATGAGCTAATAGAGGACATCAGAGTACAAGCCGCAGAAATCATGCGACGTGGATATAAAATCATCTTTAATTGGGTAAAGGCGCATGTAGGCATACGAGGGAACGAGTACGCAGATGAGCTAGCCAAAAAAGGAGTTAGATCTAAAAAGAGTATCGAATATGACAAGGTACCACGAAGCTTTGTCAAGAATCACCTTAAACATTATCTCAAGAGTGAAACGAAATTAGCATGGATTCAGAATAAATCTAAATCTTTTTTAGAGGACATCCACCTTAATCCAGGGTGGCTTCAAGACACTAGTGAATCACCAGGGAAGGAACTTCTATGGTTGATCAGTGGCCATGGTCCTTTTCCAAATTATCTTTCTAGGATGCGGATAATTAGAAGCTGTGTATGCTACTGTGGGCACGCTGACCCAGGTGTTGTCCACCTTATGGATGACTGTGACGTTCTTGAAAAGACTAGAAGGCACATCTTGCAGAGATTCAGCAGCGCAAATAGACCCAGTTACAAACTGAGCTCATTGTTCACACTGAACTTTTCAACCAATATTAGTGTTTTAAATGGGATCGCAAAGATTTTTGTGAGACAACTTAAACTTCTGAATAGTGCTCATTTCAATGTGTGACTAGTGACTTTATCTGTCAGTGCAAGTGTCAGTGCAAGTGTTAATGTGCAAAATCGGGATACATCACACGCCCTAGCGAGGCATCACCAAGGTGAGTCCTTATCCTTTGATAGTTGCAGACAAACACCTACTTTCTTGCTTAAATCCCAATGATAAACTCCCCCTTGATGTCCTTGACAAACGGAGGTACTCCATAAATGACTTTTTCCGAGTCCATCCAAACTCAACTCCATGTGGCGAGACTGCGCATGCGTGAAGGATTGTAACCATATTCGAAATTCTCTTCACATGTTACTCATCGTACTGCTGTTGACTTTGTTGCGCCTAAATTAAGTGTTTATTCTTTCTTTTAAACTGTTTATTTGTTTAAATTCAGTTTTATTATTATAAAATTGTTAATATTAAATAAAATCCTGCTGACATTCAATATAAGTTACAAGTGGAAATTTACATCATTATAAATGGAAGCCACAGAGGAAAGCAATGTTAACTCGGATGGCCAGGATGGTACCGGCACAGATGCAGGAAAACCTGACCTATCTGATCAAGAGGACAAGGACTCTAAAATTCTGGTCACAGGCGATGAAGGTAGTCAAAGTGAGACACCTGATACACAACAACATGGAAACGATGCAAATGCTGATGCAAATGCTGTAGAAGTGGGCAGTGAATCTGTTATGGAAGGTGGAGGAAACCCAAACCTACCAACACTTCTTGAGTCAGAGATTACAATTGGAACCGGAGAGGAGTTTGTAGATGATGAAATTGGTGGAAATATGATGACATCCAACGTGACTCTTGACCTCTCGAGTACAATCTACAAGATAGGGTTACAAGATGATCTAGAGGAAACCCAAAGAAAGGAAGCAGCGGATGCACTCCTTAGTGTACAAAACAATTTAGTAATGGTGCATTCAACCGAAGGTAGTGATGCTAACAAAGTGGAAAACTCAGGAGAGAAGCACTCTTCCATATCATATGAAAACCTGAAAGAGAATGAGTTGAGACGGATGTCCTCCGCAGAAAATTATATTGATGACCTATCGTTAAAATCGGATTATGATTCAACGGATCTACTCTTTCCTTTTGTATCATTCGAGCAGAAAGCAATGGAGGTACTCCAACAGGTGAAGAACCGTACCCTAGTGTACATTGATGAGGAAATCAAGAAGATTAAAGATAAATTCAAAGTGCCACAAGAAGACAAGGAACTTATGGTTCTTCCCGAATACCTGATGAACCCAAGCAAGGACTTTGATGGCAATCTCAAGAGTATAGATCGTGTCTTGTACTGTGTGCCTAAGAAAGTGCAGAAATGTGTCCAGATGCTAAGGAAAGATATCGAAACTATGGCCATGACATTCGATATCTTGATAAACAACTTCGACGTGGTAATAGAGGCCTGTTCTTTGATGAATCCAGCACTGCTGCAGTGGCGAGAGTCACTGAATGGTATACGCGATGCATTACACGCGTTTGAAGAAAAGACTTACACTGATCTAATCCCCTGGTATGGAGCGCAGAAGATACCCTACATTGACACAGTTGAGATGAGCAAAAAGAAATTGGATGAACTCCAATATAGGGTACCTAAACCTGACTATCTTAACGAGAGTCAATCGTCTACACCAATTAATGTGAAGAAACAGGCTGAAGTTCCTCGACCCTTAAGAATTAGTGACAACCCCAGGAAAACTGGTGCCAATTCTAATCCTAGACCATCAACATCTAAAGAAATAGACACATCAAAGATAGTGAAAAGGCCCTTTGTTGTGCCTGATAAGCCATCTAAAAAGCAGAAGCTGGATGACGCTAGAGTCACTCCACAGAGGAAACCTAGGGTATCCACAACACCCAAAAGGAAGCCGACGCCTGAACCGGAGGCAGAGGATGAGAATGAACTTGATACTCTTAATGACGATTTTGAGGATGACTTAGGCTCACATTATTCTGAAGGAGATGCGGAAGAGGAAGAAGGAGAAGAAGGAGATGATGATGATCAAAGTGATATGGATGTAAATGATGAGAATCTGGAAGGTTCCGACGACAACTCCGAATGTGGGAGTACAGTCTCTAGGAGGAGTTCATCCAAAAATAGGAGTTCATCGAAGACCAAGCCGAGTAACTCCAAATCCAAGCCCTCTAAGAAATCGAAGGATGAAGACACGGACAGTATCGAGATAAAGATCTGTAGAGATCATCCATGTCCTTATGTCCAGCCGGCTAACTCAGGCTCGAATTTCAGTAGGCACAACGCTGCTTATCATGACAAGGACGGGGTACCAGGTAACTTCATTAAAACGAAGGTGTCTAACTATGAATACGCTGCTAGACTGGCAAACTGGCAATCATATATGCAAGTTGTGAACAAAGAAAGGCTAAAAATGGATCCTGCTGAGTGGAAAAAGATTAAACGAAAGTACATCCAAAGGATGTCTGAAAAATTCGCTTTCGACCCAAGTAAATACCATTTGTGATAAATTGCTGTATATTTTTTATCGTGATCATTATCACCATTCTCTTTTTGAATCCCCTTAGGGAAGAAACATCTTCTCGAAAGTGATATCTACACTATTCTTTTTATAATTTGACACAATCGAGACTCAAACTGGAGGACATCTGAAACACTAGCTTAAAGATGGAAGCACTGCGCATGCCAAGGCCCCGAACATGCGCCACAGCGTTCTTTTCCATCATACGGCAGCAATCCTCACTTTGTATCACTTGTCTATTCATCATACCACTTGTACTCTGGATTTTTTATAATCTCACCACAGTTTATACATTCCCATTTACTGAAAAGTTATTCTACATTCTACTTTCTATTATTATTCAAAGCAAATAAAAGTTTCTCTTGTAACGAGTCTTCCTAAAAAGTTAAAATTGATATGTCTTCTTCTCAACCCCGTGTTAAAGCTTCTGAAGTTTTAAAGACCAAAATCAATGAGGTCTTTAATCCTCTTATTCTGGAGAAACTAAATGAAGTTGCAAGTGCAGTTGAGTACAACTTTGTTAAACCACGCAATGACTGTTCAACGCAGACAGATACCTTGGAGTTGTTTTGCGATCCCAAGAAAAAGAAACATAAGTCACTGCTCGATTATACCAACTTTGAACTCTTCGCCGTTAATACTCCCTCGTCATTACAGGGATATGTACGAGAACTTAGAAACGATGTTGAGTTCCTCAATAGAGCTGGATTGGAGGTCATCGAGGAATTTAGGAAAGTCATCCCAGGACTGAGCAAAGTTGTTCCGTCTATAGAAAAACAGAACAGGCTCATCAACTCAGCAGAAAAGCAACTGAAGTTTCTTGAAAGATCATTCTACACTGAAAGAATCGCCTGGTTACCCTGTATGGATTTATCCAAAATTACTGCGAAATCATCGCAAAGTTCGGAGGTCATCCAAAGCCCTCAGTCATCAAGCGTATCTGAAAACAAACAATCGTCTATCCGGGACTCGCTCAGTAGCGGAGACAAACGTAAGGAAAAGGATCCAGCCGCTGATAGCGATGAGGACATTGATAACCACGTCGTGCAGATCTGTTCGGTTCAATACTGTAATTTTGTTGTTGAAGTGGCAAGCGACTACGACTTTAACTTCCACTTTCAGCGATATCACCCAGATGAAAAGCCACTTGTCAAGTATCTGGTGGACAATGTAACTTCATCTGAATTTTCGAAATTGAAGGAACTCTGGAAAGAGCAGAGGGCCACATACAACAAGCAAAAGAAATGATTATTACAAGTGCGGTTGAAACACACATAATATGTATACCCCCTTATCTTCTTCTGGCTGATCTTTTACTGACTTATAAAACAGATTACATTTGTAAACTAGAAATGGAGTACCTCCGTCTCCCTCTTTTATTTTCAATTCCTATTCTTCTCCGTTTTATTACACTTTAACATGGCCTACTGCCAACATTTTAGAATATTTTATCATTTCCCTAATTAAGAGAGTCTGCAACTGTCATCTACGATGAGGACTCCTAAATGTATTATGTTATGATACACCGATCTTTTGCGAATAAAATTTCCCCTGTTTTACAACAAATCCTTATGTTTACTGGACGAGTGACTCCAACACAACAACAAGTCATTGTGTCAAGATGGATGCACTCCAACTTTCTTAACCACCAGCTCTGCAAAGCTGGAGGACATCACAAAAACCCGAGTAACTCCTCAAAAAAAAGGAATAATCAAGTGGTAGTGGAGCTCTGAAGTGCGCATGCTCAGATAATAAATCAAGTTCTATTGAAAGCCATATGACAGTTATCAACACTTAGTTATTAAGTACTGACAATCAGACGGTGGATAAAACAAAGTTTCTGTGTTTTCTATTACTTATTAAAGCTGCAATGGCACTAATTTTCAATAGAGATACTATATTAATTGTGAAGTGTGATCATCCTTGGTGTCCTTTTTTGGCTCCATGTAACGGTTACCAGGACGGCTACAAGATGGTACATAAAAGAATATATCATGATGCAGCCGATGAGAGAATTACATACACGGAATCAAGAATCCCTATCTCAACCTTTCGCAGTTTAACTGACAAGTTCTTTCTATGCAACAAATACGTTCTGCGAGCCAAGCGACGAACGCCCCGGGATGTATGGAGGAGCAACAAAGAAACTCTGATTAGAGAAATTGTAGAAAGATACTCGTAGGAGCAACTTCTTTTAAAGACTCTAAAAGGTGTCATTAACTTTGGAGGCACTCCATTTTTGTGGCAACCTTCTTCATTTTTCCTATTTATTTATATTTTGTTACTATTTTCTTATAACTAAACCTACCAATTGATTCCGAAAATTTTTATCCCATCACCAAAGTTGTTAAATATGCAGTATCAGAGCAAGCAGTTGATCGATATGGAAAGTCGAGTCACACTATTTGTAATGGAGGAACTCCAATGAAGCAACCTAGTAATAGAAAGTTAACACAGCCTGCGCATGCGCAAGCTAATAATATTCTACACATAGCCTGTTGAAGTCAGTTAATCTTTGCCGCTTCAATCGAACACAACCTTTTCGTTGAGTTTAAACAGTGAACCCCCGTTTATTGATCCTTCCAAAAACCTGTTGTCATAAGTCCCAACAATTTTCTCTGTTAGACATCAAGTGTATTACCCTTAGTGTATCTTCACATCTTTTTAAAACAAAAAGTTCTTGTTTTTGCCATGGAAGAAGCCGCAAATGAGGAGACAATCAAAATCACGATCTGTGAGGCTCGTTGGTGCCCCTTTGTAATGCTGAGTGATGATATTGAAGAATATCACAAAGGATCGCATCTTAGGAGATTCCACTTCGCCGATCGAGTACGACCAGACTTCAGAGAACTCACTGTTTCGGAGCTAGATCATGCGAGGCTGAGAGCCAAGTGGTGCAAATGTTTAATGGCCTTCATAAGAGCCAGACGTACAATTCGTCGTGATGAATGGAGAGCAAACAAAGAAAAGATAATTAAAGACATCTGTAGACGTCATCTTTAATGAACAATAAGGTAACTCAGTGGATTCGGAGGAACTCCAGCTACCATCCTTAACAAAATCTTGAATACTCGACTTAACTCATTGATCTGACAACTTCCTTCGTGGGAATAACACTAGTCCCCGTTCCTAATAATTTTCTAGATTCAAACATATAATTTTGTATTAGTCTCTTTTTCATATAACAAATAGAAAAATCATAAAAATCTTTTATAAAAAACTCTTGTACCTCGTAAACCCGATGTACTCCTACGGAGTTCATTCCAACCTAAACCCATCATCAGAAACCTCGATTTTGCTTTAATAAATAAAGTCTCTCTATACCTAAACGATGTAACCATTCCCATACAATCCATTCGCTGAATGTAATTCTTTTAGTTAAGGTACTCTGTCAAGGAGGTACTCCACTTTCTGGATGAACTCCTCAAGTTGGAGGTACTCTGTTAAGGAGGTACTCCACTTGATGAACTCCTTAAGTCGGAGGTACTCCGAAACTCTTTTTATAATTCATATTCTTGACGCCATATACGCACAAATCATGTAACTTCCCCAAACATATACATTGTAATTCGATGAACTCTTTTTTGTAACCAGCGCCTGAGGTCATCGGGCAAACTTTTTGAGTAACTCCAAATAAAGGACCTTCATTTTAAAAAAAAAAAAAAAAAAAAAACCTAACCTAACCTAACCTAACCTAACCTAACCTAACCTAACCTAACCTAACCTAACCTAACCTAACCTAACCTAACCTAACCTAACCTAACCTAACCTAACCTAACCTAACCTAACCTAACCTAACCTAACCTAACCTAACCTAACCTAACCTAACCTAACCTAACCTAACCTAACCTAACCTAACCTAACCTAACCTAACCTAACCTAACCTAACCTAACCTAACCTAACCTAACCTAACCTAACCTAACCTAACCTAACCTAACCTAACCTAACCTAACCTAACCTAACCAACCACCGATGTCCTCCGACCGAGAAGCAACATTGTGTAAAATTAGCTCCTCATTGAAGCGACCTTGATATCGAAATAAAGTGATCTATTTATTCAAATTTAGTTTATTATTTTGTGCGAACATACAGTGCATAGTTTTAAATTACATTTGGGTGCATTTACATCGATTTGTCCCTTTTGGGACTGTTTTATTGAACCAGCATGGCTACTGGTTTAAATGGTGCTGGGAATAATACCCTAATTAGACCCTCGGCCCTTGGATCTAACCTTCGTGCCCCTAGTTTGCCTATCTCTACTACTCCCCAGATGACCTCAAGTGAAGGACCCTTACCGGCGGACCTTAAAAAGATATATAAGGCCAAATTCAAGCAGCTTGCGTCTCATTTCACTGAAGCTTCGGATGTTGTTATGTCCAAAAGTCAATCTCACACAATTAAGACAGCGTGTACCAACTTCCAAAGTCATCTAGATACTTTCATAAAAGAGGTCATTGCCGAATTGAGTAAAGACTTCGAACGATTAATGAAGAACAGCGGTCATAATGTGTCGCAAGATGAGGATGTAATTGGCAAAGTTAGAGAGGAAAACAACAGTCTTAGGCAAAGGATACAAAGTTTGAACGAAAGAATGAGGGAAGAGAGAGCTGCCCATAATGAAGCGACCCAAAAAGCTGCGAAACTCGAAAGTGAACTGGCTGTTTATAAATCCGATTCTGTTTCAAAGGACATCAGCCTCATCTTTGGTATACAAGGAAGCAATGCTCCAATCGCTGCGAAAGATACATGCAGAAACTGTTTGTCAATGGACCAACTCATGATGGAAATTGAAGATCTAAACAAAAAGAATGAACATCTACAATTAGAATTGAGTAAAAATAAACAAAAACAATTAGAGAAACCTGTTAACACACCTCATGTAGAAGTAAATCCGATGGATCCTGATACTGAGGACGAGCCTGATGACGATAACAATGTAAATTCAGTCCAGCTGCGACCTACGACTTCAGCGGCCAGGAATAGAGTCGATTTAAGACCATTTCCACGTCCAAATCAAGCGAGGAACATCACGTGGGCTGATAACAACAATCAGCTGATTTCAACTCTACCATCCTATATTGTTGATCAGCGCAAGCGCAATCGTGTACATCGTACTGATGAATATGGAGTAACTCCAAGTAGTTATGAAAGACAACTAAGCGACTCCTCAAACGAATGGCAAACAGTTTCTCGAAGGTCATCTAGACCCGCTTCCCAAGCCAGGAACGCAAATCTGCAAAACGGAGTTCATCCGACCGACAATGATACACGGCAAAGTAGTACATCCAAAACGTATGCTCAGGCAGCCTCAAGTAACACGAATAACTCAGCAAAAACAGTAGTAACCGGAGCTATTCCTGGTAAACCTTTCAAAACTGATGGGTCATGTGTCGTAATCAGAGACAAAGAGCCCGATAAAACGGTGGAGCAGGTTGAGTGCCTATTCAAGGAAACGGTGAAGCCGTCAGTGATTGGCATCAAGATCCTGAGGTTAGCTCGTGTATCGGCAGCCAGGGTTGTTGCAGTGTGCATGAGTCCTGAACAAGGAATGAAGTTACTCGGCTACATCAATGAAAAAGACAACAGCCTGGAAGCATATGCTATTCTCAGCAGAAAACCTCTTGTTTCCTTAAGAAGAGTCCCTCTTGAGTACACCCTTGAAACTCTTATGGCCGAGCTCATCGCCCTCAATCCTACGTTGCATGGTCTGGATCCAACTGGGATTCGGATGGCCTACGAAAGGAAAAACTTCAACAATAAAAAAGTACAAATTGATAAGGATATAATGATCGAATGCGAAGAAGCAAATTATAAGATAATCATGAGTCAACCAAGACTTTATATTGAATACAAAACAATATATGTCACGAAGCAATCAAGATTCACACAATGTTTCAAATGCCAAGGTTATGGCCACATATCCACAAAGTGCAAGTCAGTCCAAGAGCATTGTGGAAAATGTGCAGGTCCTCACAAGACAAAAGGCTGTAAACACAATGGCCCACGGTGTTGTGTCAATTGCGTCAAGTACAACAGAAATGTAAGGAACCCAAGCTACAAATTAGATATACACCACTCGGCAAACTCTAGGGAATGCTACGTTCGTAAGGAGATGTACAACATAACTGAGAAAATGACTCAATATGGAAGTACATCGGAATAAGGACATTGCATCTCGAGTTACTCCTTTTAAAAATCTCAAAATAGTTCAAATTAATGTAGCAAGATCGTACGACTCGTACCATGCTGTTTTACAACATGCATTGAAAGACAAAACTGACATACTTCTGATACAAGAACCCCCACCAAGACCGTACATTATGAGGAGAAACTTCAATTACTACCCAGAGGACTTCTGTACTGAGACAAGAGTAGTGACGATAATTGCGAAAGAACACAACAATGTCAAACTGATCAATAACTCATTTCCTAATAACATCATCATAACGGACTTAATGAAACACAACATACGAATCTTTAACATCTATAACAAGCCCAGAAACTCACCAAGAGATATCGTTGAAACAATAAACCAGAACCTTTGCAGCAAGACCTTGATTGCAGGTGACTTCAATGCGAGGTCATCGGACTGGGGTGATCAAACTACAAACAGGGTAGGACAAGTGGTGGAGGAGTTCATCCTGGAGAATGCATTAGTTATTCACAACCAAGTAGGAGTCTCAACTTTCTGTATAACTAGAAATGGCAGAGTGTTTGAGAGCTTTATTGACCTCACACTTACAAGCGAACAACTTGCGAATGCTGTTGGGGGATGGCAGATCGGCCAAATCGAAATAGGGTCAGACCATAGAGTGATCCAGTACAAGTTAAATTCCAGAGAGCGTATAGTTACCAAACCTCGTAATCCTAATTTGTCATTATCACTACGCAACGTGGACTGGATCCAGTTTACATCACTGATGGATGAACTCCAAAACAAGTTTTCATCTCCATTGGATATCATGTTAGACGGAGGTACATCAAAAATTGATGAAGTTACAAAAGAGCTTGAGGAGTACTGCCAACAAGCCCTCATCAACTCAGGAGCGGAGGAACTCGGAGGAGTCAAACCAAAACCCTTCCCTTGGTGGAACTCGGTGATCCAAGAGACTCAATATCTACTCAAGAAAGCAACAAAAAGGCTGTCTAACTCATCCCCGAGAAGCAACAAACACTTTCTTCGTTGGGTCGAGTCACTCCGATGCAAACTAAAGATACAAATTAGAGACGCCAGGAAATCGTACTGGGTTAATTTATATGAAACCTGTGGCAAAGACCATGTTTGGGACGTATATTACAAACTGATGAAATCGCGCAGTAAAACTGCTATATCGAGTAAGTTCCTTCATGATGGCAATCACATTGAAAAATCGGAGGACATTGCCAAAATATTAGCCGAGCACTTTTACGGTGATACTAACACAGACCAAGACACTCATATAAATATGCAGCAGAACACAGCGCCACTGGTTGGACCCTCATCCCACAGTCCCTTTGAGGCGCTTTCCCCAATTGAAGTGAAATATGCCATAGATGACTTCTCTGACAACAAAGCTCCCGGGTTTGATGGCCTCAAGCCCGTGGTGCTTAAGAATTTCAGTGATCTAACTGTCAGCAAAGTAATAGCTCCACTTCTAAATGCCTGTTTGAAAGCTGGATATTTCCCGCTCCAGTGGAAATGGTGTAAGACTGTCCTCATTCCCAAGAAGAGTGACGGACACGCCACAGTAAAATCCTTCAGACCAATAGGTCTACTTCCGATAATGGGCAAGATCTTCGAAAAGTGCCTACTCTTGAAAATGAAGAGTAAACTCACGGAAATCCTGAGTCCATTGCAGTTTGGTTTCCGGCCAGGGAGGTCAACAATAGATGCACTTTATACAATAAGAGAGAAAATTAAAGAATTTAAAAGAACTGGAGGACTTACAATCATGATTACCTTTGACATAAAGGGAGCGTTTGATACTGTTCAATGGAAGGATATAAATAACATCATAGAGTCAAGCGGATTTGATGAACATTTGCGGAAGACTGTCAGATCCTACTTAAGTGGAAGAAAGACCACACTGATTTATAATGATGCCAGCTACGAGATAATCAATACTCGAGGAACCATTCAAGGCAGCTGCCTTGGCCCCACTCTATGGAATCTAATTATGAATGAACTCCTCAAAGCAGGAGGTCATCAAGACGTTTACATACAAGCCTACGCAGATGACCTTACGGTAGTTGCGAATTTACCCAGAGCTAACAAAGAATACAAGAAGGATACTTTGTTATCCGAGCTGAAGAGAATCTCTGATTGGGCAAAGAGACATAATCTCAGATTTGCCGCTGAAAAGACTCAAGCAGTAAGGTTTGGAAAAGGTCCATTACCTGTGATACATTTTGAGGACAAACAGATACAATTCACCAGCAGTGTTAAGATCCTAGGCCTCAACTTTGATGAAACTCTCAATTGGAATGCACACATCAATAGTACGATAAAAAACATAAGAAAGACGCTGCAAGGGACCAACAATGCTCTTGGTTGGCCTAGACCAAGACTCCAAGTACTCCAAGTCATATATCAAGGAGTCATACTTCCCAAGATTACCTATGGTTGTGAGATATACGCCAATGGGATAATTAAGGAAGGGATTCGGAAACTTAACTCGTTGATATGCACAATACTCAGGCGGATGTCCTCCATGTATCGAACGACTCCGAATGTTACTGTCCTTACATTAACCGACTCGAGTCCCATAGAGAAGTTACTGGAATTCAATAGGCTTAAATACGAGGTACTCAACAGTAAGGCTAGCTCATCCGATTTGAGTGCCATCATCCCTGGGGATCGTCCTCTAGAGGACAAGATAGGAAGAGGTTTCTCTGAAAACTCGATATCGTGCTTGCAAATTAAAGGTCAAAAATATTTCAACGAGCCGATGGACATCCAAACTGTCAATGAGAGTGCCTGGCAGATATTCACAGACGGAAGCAAAACACCAGACGGAGTCGGATATGGTTTTTGCGTAATTGATAGCAGAGGTAAAATTGTTAAGAAACATAATGGACCCTTATTTGGTTATGCCACGATATTCCAAGCTGAGTGCTATGCAATAACAAGGGCTTTGAATTTTCTAATGATCAAACATCGTACAGCGCCAAAAGTGATTCACGTTTTAACGGACTCTGAGTCTCTCTTCTCTGCCTATCACACCTGCACGACACAACACGAACTTATTGAGGACATTAGAATACAGATTTCAGAACTGAAGACCCATGGTTTTCAAGTTACCCTGAACTGGGTAAAGGCACATGTAGGCATCCGAGGAAACGAGCAAGCAGACGAACTTGCCAAAAAGGGTGTTAAATCCAAAAGAAATATTACATACGATAAAGTTCCGAGAAGCTTTGTCAAGAAACATCTCAAACACCAGTTAAAAAGTGTAACTAAACTTACATGGATGCAGAACCAATCTAAGTCTTTTTTGGAGGACATCAATCTTACTCCAGGATGGCTGAAAGAGGCTTCGGACTCACCAACTAAGCAACTCTTGTGGCTAATCAGTGGTCATGACCC